TCACCGGTTGCAGGCAACTTAAGCCATACTTTAGGAACAATTATGGCTCTGTTTCGTTTAGAATTGTGTTCATTAGTTCTTGTAATACTCTTCGAAGCCTCGTTTGGCTATTTTATAACGATCGACGCGCATGCAGAGGAGTGTTTTCATGACCAAGTTACATCTGGAACCAAGATGGCTCTCATATTTGAAGTAGCCGAAGGTGGATTCTTGGACATCGATGTCACGGTACATAACCTTTTTCAAGGATTAGAGGGTTGCAGTATATAATCTTTATTAGATAAAATGGTTCCATAATCCCTGATAAGCAACGGTCCTTTTATATTGTACCTACAGACTGATGGCTGCTTGGAACCATATTAACTCTTGGCTTTTAATTTACTGTCCTTTTTTTTCTCTCAGAAAAAAGAACAGTTACCCGCCATATGCCAAGTATTTTAAATTTGTTTCAAAGAGATTGTTATTTTTTAGTTCTTAACCCTACCCTATCCCCAAGAAATATTATGAGGTGGCATTTAAACAAGGAGTAATTGTCAATCAAAGTGCACTCATCACGTGCTTTTTAGCCACTGGCAGTAAAAACCGTTATAGAAAAACTCTCAAAATGTGTGTGAAAAAAATGCAGTATTTTAAAAAGGGTCACAGGGAGGGTGGGTGGGGGGTAGGTTTGCAGGGATATTGGTAAGGAAAAGCTAAGGAGGCATATGTATTTATTAGTCTATATGGCTTTTCACTTAACTGTACACCCTCAAAATTACCCAATTTAATTTCCAGGGCAATTTGATCCAGTGGTAAGCTATACCTTCCAATTCACATTCATTTTACGTGAGTCAAACTACTTGCAAATGGATGCAGCAACTCTCAACATTGTTGGCCCAACAATGTTGGGAGTTATTGCATCCATTTGCACATGGCTAAAAATTTGACTGGTTTCAAACTGCATGCAACAACTCCCAATAACACCCAATAATCTGGCACAGGGTGTGCAAATGGATGCAACATGTAACATCCAACAATGTTGGTAGTTGTTGGCCAACAATGTTGCATCCATTTGCACTGGGCTTCACATAGTGGCGGACCGAAAATGGACAATTTCAAGTGCATAACTCACTATTCCAAACTACCTGTGTTATAACCATTAACGTGAAAAATGACTAAAGAATTTATCTTGCCAAGACATGATAATACCTTGCCTTGGTAACCCCTCAAGATTAGATATATAAGATCTTGCAAGCTTGCCAAGATTTAGCGCTTCTCACCTCTACATTCTACAACCTTTGGAAATCTTTGGAATGTTGGGAAGACATGAGAACTTCTTTGACACAATTCAGAATTCGTTAGATTTTTTCAGAAATGAGGATGTCAAAAATCCCATGCATTTGACTTAGGAAAAGTTGGAAGGTTAAGTAAGCTCATTTTCAGCTGGTTAAATTCATTGGCAGCCCCTGGTTAGTGACATTCCTGGGCATGAGAGATGAAGCAGAACAATAGTCATTTACCTACAACCTGCTTTGCTTTGTGAGAGAATACACCAAGAGACTCTAATCAATGTGCATGTGTACAACTGCTGTAATAGGAGTTTGTAAAACATTTTGTTGCTTATCTTTAACTTTCCAATATTTATTTCTTTACAACAGATAAGAGGTCCAGATCAAAAAGTCATTTACACAGGAGAAAGGGAAAGTAACGGAAAATATGCATTTGCTGCGTATATGGATGGAACATACCACTACTGCTTTAGTAACAAAATGTCATCCATGACACCCAAAATAGTCAAGTTCTCCATGGACCTGGGAGAAGCACCTAAGGATACAAGTAAAGAGGAAGGTATGATTCAAACCTGTTTGAAAATTGAAGAAAAGGTCAGGTAGAAAACTGCATATAAACATGATGAGGGCTTTCGCTAAGATATCCAGTTACAGGGTATATGCAATAACTTGGCATAGAAATGAAATGAAGGAAGTTCTTGTGGTTCTATTAATTTTTTCCTTTTGTTTCCCCCGAAAGTTGCCAAACTTCATGTTTATAGTGGCTGGGGGTAATCCACCCCCCGCCCAGATTTTTATTGTTGTAAAATATTTTTGTGGGTGGTGATGTAAATTTTATGTGCATAAATAAAGTAGAGGCGAGAAGTCGTGCATAAATTTAAAAGTTGCACCTCACTCAACTTTTATGTCTGTGTGCAGCCTCTCATCCATCATCTCTATTTTATTTATGCGCATAAAGATTGTGGGATAGTAGAAATCCACCTTCAGTGACAGCCCTGATCCATGATTTGGCAATGCTCTGTGAGGTTGCACTACAGACCATTTAGAGTTGCTTTCTTTGTAACTTAGACCTTTAAGTTGTACCAGACTTGACTGTGTCTGGACACAAACCTGGCTTTCATTATGACAGTCATTGATGTACAGGTGAAAAGGCATTTAAACCAAGTCAGTTTAAGTCATACTTGCACTAACTCACTGGTAGAGCTTTATTTGCAGAACGTTGATTTATGTTGTTGTTTCAAACCTGCATAGAATGAAACTGCTGTATATTACTGGCTTAACATAGTTTTAACATGCAAACTGCAGTGATCTATGGTAATGTCCATATTACCCAGAGTTAACTAAAGAGTTTAAAAATTCGGCCAAAAAAGTTATCCTACTTTTTCAAATGGGGTATAATTAACCACATGAATCTTTTGTGTGAGAGAGAACAATAATGTGTCCTTTTTTTCTCCTGTTTTAAGGTGCACATCATGACAAACTAAGTGAAATGATTGGTCAGTTGTCTGAAGCACTTACAGGTGTCAAACATGAGCAGGAATATATGGAAGTTAGGGAAAGAATTCACAGATCAAGTAAGTGCAATATCTTATGGTGTTTTTAAGAATCACTTTTACGAAAAATGGGTGCAAAGAAAGTCACTTTTAGAGCTTACCATTAATTTGATGAGCATCGATTACAGTTCTTCTGTAATTTGAGTTCCCCCAAAAATTCAACTTTCCTGTCAAGCAAGTTAAGAACTGTATTCACTAACCCAATAGTAAAGTCCAGAAGCCCTGGGCTATGAGACACTTTCTTTTCACTCTTGTACCCTGTAACTTGTCATTTGCTGTTCATCACATGGATATCTGCATGGAAATCAGACTGTAGATTCATGCTAGTTTCATCGGTAAAAATCCGTAGTTTCATCCATTATTGTTTTGGATAGTTTTAATCTGTTTAGATGTACACTGTTATCCTCAATGCTATTATATTTATTATTATTTCATATTTTCACTGATGCAAACTGCCAACTAAGGCAGAAATACTGTGAGATGGCTGAAAGTGAAAATTGGGACATTTTATGTAACTCGGATAAAGCAAAATTTTCAAGCACTGAACCTATTTGCAAGTTTTCTAGACAAAGTCTGGTACTTGCAAATCTTAAAAAAGTTGTGCATGGAATAAGGCCCTAATTGAAAAGCAGGTACAGCTGTACTGTCATGAAATTTTCCCTTTAGCAAATTGAAAGAACAATCTGGCAGTTAAGTAGAAGTCATTTGGGGCCCTCTCCAATTATTATTTTTGCTTTTCTTACTTTTTTGTTATTCCATCCACAGTTAATGATAACACAAACAGCCGTGTAGTCTGGTGGTCCTTCTTTGAATCTCTTGTGCTCGTTGCCATGACGCTAGGACAAGTTTTCTACCTTAAACGTTTCTTTGAAGTCAGAAGAGTGGTCTAAGATGTTAGTGCCTATTTCTACAAATACAAGAACTGTACATTACTGTAGCGTTGTTTGAAAGCTTTTTAAGGCTTATCCTCAATTGTACGGATTGAAAGTTTGCCATGGTTGTTAATCCTTGTTTCTGAGTTCTTCATCAACTGTTTTAAAGAATGACATTTTGGTTACATTATTGTTAAATTGAATTTCAGGCTGACATGAACTTATTATTGATTATATTTTACTTTTAGCAACCTTGTCCAAACAGTGATGGTTATTAGAAGTATATCACTGTTTACTTTTTTTTACTTCTGTGCCAGATTAGCCATTTGGAAGGGAATCAGAGAAGTTGTGTATTGATCACTTCTTTTTCTGCGTGACTCAAAGACATCTGCTACAATTGAAATTCAAAGGGGCCCAATTTTGAAATTTATTAAAATGTTTTCACTTAAATAAAACTAGTCTAAAAAATATTGTACCCCATTAATTTTATTTCATAGGCTAGGTATCTGTAAAAGGGTACCCTTTTGATATGTTTAGTCCATATTTTATGCGGTAAGGCATATCCATGACCTGTGTTGCAGCCAGACTCATCACTCTAGACCTAGATAGAGACCTCAATATACATTGTGGTAACAGGGACTAAGACTGTCTGCAACCCAGGTTACATATTCATGAAGTCACAAGATTATGGAAACTCTTCCTAGAGTTCATCTTTAAAAAGATAAGTTTATTTATCTTGAACTAATATCATATTATATAGCTGTATGTTACTGTCCCGTGATCAGGGTCTGTTTTTACTCAGTGAACAGTTACCATCAGAAACTAGAACAATACAAAAAATAATCGTTAAAAAGTAATCACTTCTACAATAACTGTGCTTAGGATGTGCTCTAATATTACAGCTTGGCCACTGAACCTTTCATTCCCAAGAGTGCCCTTATAAACATTTCAAGAAATACATGTATCCCAGATTTCATCTTATCTAGACTTATTCACAACTGTAGAAATGAGAGGAAGATGGGGCTAAGAAAACTTTTTGCAATGACTTCTGGGATTGTTACCAGGGACAGGGGAAAATTTTGGCCACTACCTGACCAGTACATCCCCTGTAACAATCCCAGAATCAATTGCAGGATGTATTTTGTCTCCCATTCCCCTCTTGTTTCTAAAGAGGGGAATGTAGCAGCAAAAGTACAGTTGAACCTCTCTACAACGGCCACCTTGGGGACAGAAGAAAGTGGCCTTTGTAGAGAGGCTTAAACAAGAGTCAATGTTTGGACTGTTGGCCAAAAACAAATGACCGTTGTAGAGAGGTGGCCATTGTGGATAGGTGGCCGTTGGTGGAGGTTCGACTGTACTTCTAAAGAGGCTCAGAAGAGAGCAACCTCCGTTCTACTATTGTGTTACAAGGAGTGGGCTAGAGCTGGATTATCACAACATGGGATTTTACACAGACTCAGGGGCTAGAACTATAATTTTTATGTCTTTGTGGTTATTATTATTGAAGTTGGAGAAAAAGTTTCATCAAGATTCCTTGTAAAAGGATCACTGATATTCTTGAAAATTAGGCTGTTTCGGTGGGGACTGATCTAACAAAATTGCAATAGAAGGAAATAACTGACAGTGTTGTTCTGGAAATAGGGTATGGAAAGACAAAAAATATTGTTCCTCAAGCTGTAATAACTTTTGTTATGCCATGTTGATTAAGATGATTTAACTTAACATTTCTGTTACATGTAGTACTGTTCATTTTCCTTTTTTACTGTAAATGAATAGTTATGATTGTGAAGGCTTGTTTGAAAAATAAACTATTTCAAATGTAGAATTCTGTCAGCATTTTTATGTGGTCGTACCAGAGATTTTTATGGCTACCCTGCGAGCAGAGGTTTCTTTACTGTATGACTTAAGCATTTGCAAAGTTGTTCACATCGCTTGTAAGTCACCTGGTTGGTTTGTTTACGCCCCAAGAGAAACCTCTCCAGTGAGTTGTCCGTAGTTACCGTTGTGCATGCAGTTTGGCAACATGACCGACAGGTTTAAAGACCTTTTTTATCAGTTGAACAACTCATGTGCAATTCTTTTCGACTGATTTGTTGCGCAAAACGGAGCCCGTGTGACACTTTCTCCTGCAAGCATTTTTTAAAAGCAGTTCAGAAGGCTTTCAAAGCACTTAACCATTGTGTAATCAATTCTTACTCCTTATCAGTCCAAGACATTGTATTATGTTGTAAATGCTTTACTGTAAGAGCTTGTAATGAAAGAATATTTCTTAGATAGTCTTTGGTTGTGAGAATATTGTCAAAATGTCCATGTTTTGTTGTTTGTAGATATTTGTTTTGAAATGGGACAAGTAAATTTCAGAATTATTTTTTTAACAGCATTGTATTTCTTTCAGGTGGATGAAATTTATGTCATTATATCTATAGCAACAAATTAACGATCTGGCATATGCACAATGCACGATAGAAACCACAGATTGCTCATGCAGAGGTTTCTCTTGGGGTGTAAATAAACCAGCTATGCAACTGATAAGTGACGCAAACAACTTCATAAAATTTATGCTAAAAGCCATGTTGGAAAGAAATCTCTGCTCGCAGGGTCTAGTTTGGCTGGAGCATGAAGCAAACACATGCACAACTGTAAGCATTACTGTTTTTGCTGTAAGTGATAAAAGATTGTCTTTAAAGTCGTTGAACGGAAGTAAATAAAAACAAGTCCGTTGCTGTTGGATAAAACAAAGCAAGATAGTTTATTTTGTTCTTGTGATGTGTTCCTTTTTTCTCTTAGAAGAAGGTAGCCTTATCCACTTTCTTCTTCTATTCTTGGGTGTATAATCTACAAAAAAATAATAAATTTAAAGAACAGCAAGAAATATCAGAGAAGTTGCTCCCTTGGTAAAACCAACTGATAGCTCTACTTATTACAATGGTTACAGGGATTTTGTTTTCAAAATGATAACCCATTTTAAGTCACAAATTTAAATAAAGAATCCCATTCTGGATATCTAATTCAACTGCTGATAATGTTAAACTTCTGTGCATTAAAAAATATTACACCTTATTGTGGGAATCATCTCAATTTAAAGTTTGAAGCCAAAAAAGTGCAACCAGGCTAGGGGGTATGTACCCCCACCACCCATAAAGAAGGACCGACGCCGTGTTGCTTACCATTTAGTAATACACAAACCACCCTGGTGGAAATCTTGTGCATAAACATAAACCTGAAAAATTTGATGTGGTGGGAGAACAAACTGCTTCAATGTATATATATATATATCCAAATCAGCTAAACAGATTTTAAAAAATGGAAAAATCACATCCCTCAAATCATACCCCATGTTTTCTGAAGCTCCCCAAACGGAATGGCCTGAACCGTTTGTTTTCCCAAAATGAATTTCTGGATTTCCCATGTAAATGGTAAAGTCCCCCCATATCAAGCTTGACTTAGAGCTCATTTAGTTAATAAATATATTGATAATTTACTGGTCACATATTTGATGACATATAGTCAAACTCATTTAAAATAGGAACAGTTGAGACCATTAGAAGTTCTATATAATGTATTTAGGGAGGTAATTTCAGCAGAAACATGAGAGCATTGATTCAAAAAGAGGCCCAGAACTCACAAAGAAACAGTTGAAAACAGGAAAAAATGCATTTAAATCTAATAACTAAGCTTTAACTAAATAAAATTAACCACATTAAAATGCACATCACGAAAGTTTATGCATACTCACCACAATAAAATGTTTGTGGATGTATAACTCTCCTATGTTCATTCAGCTTGACAAAACCTCCTTTTGCAAGAGCACTAGAAAATGCCTTCACCTGTAAGAAGGATTTTGTTGTAGTCAGTTACATTAACCCTTTAACATCTAAGAGCAACCAACATTTAATTTCTCCTTATTTATTAACCCTCCAAGTTATAGTTTTTGCTCAGTCGCCAATTGGCAACCAACTCTTTTGCTTTAGGGAGACTTTTTTACAAATCAAGTTGCTAGCTCCAAAATTTTAGGCGCCATGGCGACCAAAATGGTTGCAACTTGAAGGGTTGTAATAGCAACACTGCTCAATCAAACTTACACTGTAAAGGACATGAGAAAAATGGAAACGATCAACCAGTGTAAAAGGTCAAGATTGTTTAACCCTTTAAGCCCCAATATCCACATACAAATTCTATAAACTGATCTCCATACATTTCCTTGATGAATGAGTTGAGAGAATTTGATAAAAGATCAATGCATTTTCTCTTAGGTGATCATTTTATTAATTCTCATAACTTAATCTCTTGACATTGTATGGATATCGTTAGGAGAAAATTGATGTTGGTCACCATTGGGACTTAAAGGGTTAACAAATTCTCCTTAACAGTACCAAGGGAAAATGGGCCGAGTTAACTTTTGCAAAGACTTCTGGGACTGTTACTAAGGACAGAGAAAAATATTGGCCAGCGGCGGACCTGCGCATCCCCAGTAATGATCTCAGAAGTCTTTGCAAAAGATCATTTGGCCCACATTGCAGTTTCCTTCTCATTCCTAAAGGGGCGAATGGAGGTCAGGTATCGGCTGCATTATGGAAACCAATGATTTTGTTACCTCTACGTCCTGCGTCCCTGACACATAAAAATTCCCAAAGACACCAAATAATTCATGGCACACATCGCGTAGGACACAAAGGAGGATCACTCGATTTGAAGACTTTTTGGTAGAATATCCTGTTCGAGTGATTTCTGTGGCTGTTGTTTAAAGATGCATATTTCTTTTAGTCTTTTTTGTACTTTACATTTTCAATATTAACTGTCTGGTTACATAAAGGCCCAAACATTTTCAGTTTAGGACTCCTTGATTTTTTTAACTGGGATTTTATTGGTTATGGACAGGGACTCATGAGTTTTCACAAGATGAGTCCCAGGACTCACCATAACTATTTGTAACAAAATCACTGGGAAACTGGTGACAACTCCACAATATGACATCACCATAAACATTACCCGTAGTTTATTTCTGTCACCATACTGAGGTTCCCAATAAACTCTTGTAATTCCTGCCTCCTGACATCTTTGAGCCAACACCCTACCAAGGTTCTTAGCAGCACTGATGTCTGTGGTTTTGTAAAGGTGTCTTGTGATTTCAAACTCTGCAGTGGATGCTGAGACAAGGACCACTCCACTGTTGTGCAACACCTCCGCTCTTGAGTGTCGATTTGAGATAATGAATTTCAATCTATATCAATGAAACAATAGAATCAAGTCCAACAACTGTCCAATTATTTAGGTATGTCACACTGTCCTTTTACACTGTCCTATTAATGCTGAAATCAGGGTCACGAATAGCCAATCAGATTGGAGAATTATGTCATAATAATAATAATTAATTATTATTATGACATTATAACATGATTGCAGCCGGCAAGTTTGACAGGGCTGGGTTTTATGATCAAACACCTGTGGAATCGAGAATCAACAATACTCAAAATCTGAACTTTATCAGATACCTCCAACATAGCAGAGTGTAAACTCCACTGTTACAGTAATTCTAAGAACATGCCACAGCCCGACACGTAAACCCGAAAAAACCAACTATTGGAAAAATAGGGACCATGTAACCCCAACCTATGCTATGGCGTCGCCTTTGGAGATGAGCAGATGAGCAGAAAACAAGATGCTATATAAAATAGCTAAGAAACATAGGGACCAGTACGGATGGTAACGAAATTAAGGCTAACAGAATAAGTGAAAATTAAACTAAACAAAGCAAGTTGACGTGGCGAGGCCGACCATAGAGTGACACGCATAACTAAACGGTCACTATATCAAACCCCCTAACCGCACACTAAGCTAGAACCCGTTCTCCGTTCTGTGCTGGCAAAATAATAATTTATGTCAATTCTAATTGACACAAATTATATTTTCTATAGCGGATATTAATGATTTGTTTTAGAAAACATTACTTCCATGGTATACATTGTGTATTACTTGCCATCTTGCGATTTTTGTGAGTTTTTAGCTCCCTCGGTTTTCACTAGTGGACTGGTCTAAAGCTTATTGTAAATATCCCCATACAAAATCTTTTTTTTTACGCCATGCATGACCGCTATCTCGCACCTATATCGTCCCAACCTTGGGTGGCCTGTGCTTTAAGGAGCGCGGAAATTTACATTAAAATGATGACAGTACCACAGGTAACTTACTTGTTATAGTAATCTTTCCTGTATTTTTGAGTAGCATATCCTCTGGGTTTGTTATAACCGAAATACTCAGGATTTCGAGGATTTCTGTTCTCAAAGTCACTAAGGATTGGAAGTTTGGTCTTTTTGGGATGACTTTCGACTGCATCCTCACTTGATTTTACTTTACGTGCTGCAATGGAAAGATTGCATCTTGAAAGAATTAACACTAATCGTGGTAAATCATTTAGATCGATCCTATTATTCTGCAAAAAACTTTGTCGTAAGGATGAAAAACAACACGAGATGTTTTTAACCCTGAAGGCAGCCATCTTGAGTAACCTAATGCGCACACTCACAAGCCCTGTATTACATGACAAGTCTTCTCTTACGAAACTTTACCGCTGGTTAAGGTTGAAGTAAACACAAGAAAATTCACGTGGGAATCGTCGTTGGAATCGAGAAAAAGTGACGAAAATGAGGTAAGGGGTTGGAATCTCTACATAACACCCTTTGTTTTGTAACTTAATGTCTCTTGTCGTTAAAGTGTGAATGTTATTTGAGGTAATCCGTGATGAAGTTACACGCGAGACTCTCAATCGATCGCGCGCCATTCGAATTCACATTATAGCTTGCTTATCTGTGTTTTTGATACTTTACACATCTAGTGAAGGAGGTCGTATCCTTGCTCAGTTTAAGAGTGAAGTTGGAGAGCTTATTGGTACACCATTTGATCTCCCTCTTGATGTCACACCCGATAAGCTAGAATTAGTCTGTAACGCTGTTCTTCAGAAGGTATTGTAATAACTTTTATGCTGACTAGATTGAAAGGTCCATCTCAGTATATCCTAATTACTGGTAATTACAGATTAAAGGAGTCCATCCCATACTGTAGAAGGTGAATGGTGTGAGAGGAAGTGTAGGTGAGGGATGAGACTGATAGAGGGGGTTGGTGTTGGTGAGGGGCAATAAGAGTGATGAGATCTTCTATGTGTGTTCTCTTTTTGGTTAGATTAATATGAGACTCAATGAATGGTTTGAACCCATCCAGGAGTAAGTAATTGAAATATGATCGTCCAGGTGAGCATATTGCTGAATAGGACTGTTGTCAACAGTGATTGACGTTTTGACCGCTTGTGCAGTAGTCATCTTCAGAGTCAAAGAACGAATGACTACCACACTGGTTGTCTTAATATCAGTCACCGTCAACGGCAACCCTATTCAGGACTTCATGTGCCCAAATGATCATATTCCACTTACTCATGAGTCTGCCCACTAAATAAAGTGTATAGTCTTTTCAGCTGTTAGAGGACTCTCCTTCTCGATCTATTCGCATTCATTCTATTCTGATGAAATAATCCAGGAAGTTCAGTTGGTGTGAGGGGTGTTTTGCAGAATGCCAAATGACTCTGAAGTTTAGTGTTTAGGGTTAGGAAACACAGTGAATCAAGTTTCAGGTCAGTTTTCCCAGTATAATGATCATAAATGGAACCTGATTCACTCAGGTTCCTTACCCTAATCACAAAACTTCAGAGTTATTCAGGATTCTGCATTCAGTGTTTGGCTTCTTCAAAGCTTGATTTTATTCTTTAGTGCTTGAAAAAGCAAACAGTAGCACTTGTACTTGTTATGTCCATTTATTCGTGTTTTAGGATGAGAGTGTCCCATATTCATTTTTCATCAATGAGTCAGAAATCACAGGATCTCTTAAAGAAACACTTGAGACACAGACACTAGAGACAGAGAAAGTTGTGGAGATAGTTTACCAACCTCAGGCTGTGTTCAAAGTCAGAGCAGTTACAAGGTGTACAAGTACCATTCCAGGTATGTTATTTATATACATAGGAAAAGTTTTCAAAACCCCCCTAATTTCTTATAATAAATTATTTATGCTAGCTACATATAGGATAGTTCTGTGATGTGTTTAGATGCGGGCAGATTGAAGTTTTCAAAAAAACTGTGCCCTAGCCATTGCCCAAGCTTTGAATTCTTCATTTCTTAATTTTCTTGATTCTATCACACAGTGGCCTGACCAAAATACAAGTAGTTGTAAAAAAGTCCCAAAATGTTACTCAATAGACCATGCATTAAAGTGCAATATATATCAACTGTTTCATTTTAAACAGGCCATTCTGAAGCAGTAATTTCTGTGGCCTTCAGTCCAGATGGCAGGTACATAATAATATTATTTAAATAGAGTTACTGCATCTTAATTTACATAAATAATTTGTGGTTTTATGCTATAATAGTATAATAATTATTACTGTACAAAAAGTTAAGTGCTGTACTGTCATACATGTAGATATCTGGCGAGTGGCTCAGGTGATACAACAGTCAGATTCTGGGATGTCAATACAGAAACACCTCATTATACATGTAAAGGTTAGTAGTAATAAATAATAGCCTGAGAAGACAGGAGACATTTTGTGACGCCACCGGTGGTCTCCCTATGAAATGACGTCTGAAAAATGAGTGCAGAAACTCCATACTGATGATGTGTCACTAACCCAATCTAGGTAGTGATTGGATGAAGCAAATTTCCAACCAATCAGAAGCACTACCCAGAACTGGGTCGTGATTTCTGTGCTCTTTTCTCCAATGTCATTTTGCTGGGAAACCAGTGGTGGCACAAAATGGCGGCTGTTTTTTCAGGTTAATGATAAAGAGGGAGAGGTCCATAATGGAATGTTAACTTTAGAGAAAAAAAAAATAGTGAATTCTATCTAAATGTGAGAACAATTTCAATTCACACCCCAGAGTATATTCCCTTCCACCAACTGTTAATGAATAAAAATAACATTATACACCATCTCTAAGTTACGTTAACAACTGACTGAAATACTCATATTAGTGCCTGGAAAATGCCTTTTTACAATTGTGAGGTGAGATGAGGCACTAATTTGATGCTTGGTTGAAGATTTTCCCAAATTGGAACATTTTTTAAGATAATGAGAAGGTATTAAGTCTTCGCCCCCACCCCATAGTTACTGACCAATATTATGATCTTAACCAATTATAACCAATACAAGGGAACACACCCCTGCTGAGTAAAAAAAACTTATTTGCCTGTTTATTTTTAACTTTCAAGGTCATTCACACTGGATATTACATATAGCATGGTCTCCAGATGGCAAAAAGCTTGCTTCTGGGTGCAAAAATGGAGAGGTCAGACCAAGTAATCTCATGCAAAAATTGTACCTGTATTAGCTTGCTGAAAACTATTTAATTGTAATTATGTTTTGTAATAAAATTAGAAGACAAAATATGTCTTTGTTATTAGTTAATAGATGTGGTCAGAGAAAAATCATTGCTCATCACGTTGCTGACTACAAGAGTTATACAAACGGTTTTTAAGGTTAAGTTTTTATTATGTTTTATTATGTTTGATTTATAGATCAGAATATGGGATCCTGCAACAGGAAAGCAACTAGGAAAAATATTAAAAGGACATTTACAGTGGATAACATGGCTTAGCTGGCAACCCCTTCACAGGTATATTATGTAGACTACTCCTCCACTAACTTGGCCCTATTACAAAAAATTCTTTCTTGTAATTACAGTTCTAGTCAGGAGTTGGGGTTGGTTTTTCAAAAGTCAATGAAAGTGTGAGAGAATTATATGAATTATTATATTACACAGGGCTCGCTAGCAAGTTTTAAGCATAACGTTTTTGAATCCTTTCTAGCTGAACAAAAGGCCGTGATGCTCCTTAGACTGTAATATTGTATATACGTTTTATGTTGTTTTTATCTATCTTAGTCATAATGTCTTTTTAGAAATTATCTATTATATTAAGTATCCTAAATTATCTTTGAAAATAGTATATTTTATAGTTTTTAGTTTTAGAATCTATATTTGTACTTTGAGGGCCACACAGAGTCATCAGTGTCTTAGGCCTACTGTTAAGTGTTTTACCCTCTTTAAATAAAGCCTATTATTATTACAGGGGTGGTGACAGGGTTAAAGTAAAAGGTCCTCCATGTAAGAAGGAGAAAAAAGTTAAGTAGGTGGTAATAGATTGGATGGAAAGGCCCTCACATGTGGGGGTTTGTGTGGAAAAGGGGATAACCCCCTTCCCCTCCACTGGTAAGATCTGGGGGGCTTTTCAGGAAAAAATTGTTTTTTGGAGCTAAGTTGAAAAAGTTGAATTTCAGTGCATTTTGCACAACCAAGGAGAGAATTTTAGCCATGAGGACAGCACCTTTCTTTGCTCACATTTAATGGTGTATGTTGCATCACAATTTTATTTCACCTCAAGAAGTGTTGCAAAATAAATACGACATATTTATCATTGCTGTCAAAAAAATATTTTCGTTGAGTAGACTAAAACATGATTTTGCTGGTCATTCGGAGCTTTAGGATTACCCAGTTTTTAGGGCAAGTCTCAATTAAAAAAAAAACTTGGAGCAAGAAAACATAGACTTCATCAACTGGAATATTGAATTGTCTTTTTCAGTAATCCAGAATGTAGGTTCCTGGCAAGTTCGTCAAAGGCAAGTCTAATATTTTGGTCTTTGTGTAAGGCTTTTGTAAGCTGTTGTTAATGCTGTGCGCCCTAAGTATTATTGCACTGTTTGTTGTTTTTACAATCATGTTATATGTACGTGCCATGATGATTCAATTTTGCACTTGGATCATCTTTTATTCCCCATTGAAAAATGGAATCAAGGATAAATTTGAACAAATCTCTTCCTGTGATTTTTGCACCTGTAGGATACAACAATAAAAATATGGGATGTTGTCCTTGGTCAGTTTATAAGAACACTTTCAAGCCACACTAAATCAGTGACATGCATCAGATGGGGAGGTGAGGGTCTTATTTATTCATCATCCCAGGACAGGACAATCAAGGTCTGGAGAGCAGAAGATGTAAGTACAAAGTAATTAATTAATAATGATAAGAGGAATAATTAATAATGATTATTACTTTGAAGGGCTTCCTTGAGGTCCTCTAGGTAGGTCCTCTGTAATGTTTGTTTAGCTGCTAGATAACCCCTTCCAAACTACCTTGTCTTTGCTTGTAAAGCCAAGTGAGAATTGGGCATCACATCAAGAGTCATGTAAGAAGTCACTTTATTATTCCTCATAACCCCTGGAACTTTATTGAGCTGACTTGAAATATTATTATGCATCTTGATCACTGACATCCAGAAATGTTAATAGTTGGTTCTGGCAATATAATACTGGCAAGTTGAATGCAATAATTGAGGATACAGCCAATCACAAAACTAATAGACTAACTGCATATTCTGTGATGTACAAAACGGAGTATTTCACCAATTCTATTTAGTGTGAGAGTAGCAACATTCCTTATTCATTTCTTTTCTGTAAAAACTAAGTTACAGAGGAAGCTTCAGTCCTCTGTGTGTCTTGTTCTGATTGTTTTCATGAGTAGCCTTCATGCAAAGGCAAACCAAGTCATAAACCTTCATGTGTAATGTGTAGTGCTGTCATTTTATCTGTTTCTCAGGGTGTTTTATGTAGAACACTGCAAGGCCATGCTCACTGGGTAGGTACATTGTATACCTTTAACATGAAAACATAAACCTTCTTAATACAGACACCACGGGGACAGATTTGAATGTCCACATTACAGAAGTAAGTGCACTATAGTCAATAGAGATAGGGAGGGTATGTAGCCTAGCGTCTGGGTAAATAATAATAATAATAACAGAAGTGTCGATAACGAAAAATTTGAGTGTCCTCTCAAATGTCTTTAATAACAGACACCACAGGGACAGATTTGAGTGTCCACTTTACAGAGGTGTGTGTGCTATAGATATAGGGATTGTATGAAGGTAGACATCTTATGGACCAGCTGAACTCTCCATAATATATAGAGGTGTCCATAATGAGAGGGTATGGACTTTTTAGTCAAACATACTTAGTATGGACACTAAAGGCACTAACTCTAGTGTGTGCATTACAGAGGAAAGAAAGGCTTATTTACCCATTTGGTAAATGAATATTTTACCTCCAGTTGGGACTAACCATCTGCTGTGACAATTTGTCAGAGGTGTCGATCTGTATTCAGAAGGTATTATATATGGGGATAACAGTCAACTCTGACTCTTAACAGACACCTCTATGACACGGACACCTCACTTAAATAGACAAGACTCTTTGTAGGTAAATCCTTGCTAATTTCACTGTTTACATTAATTTTTTGGCCATTAGCATACAAGTTCAACTTATAGAAGACATCACCACATGTACAAAGTTGAAAGAGCTGGTTAATTTGAGCAGTTTGTGCAATTTTTAGCTATTTGCAATCAATAACAAAGGAAATACAGGCAATCAAAAACTGCAAAATTGCAGGGTGGCAAAAACGTTAATGAGCTTATACATTCTTTGTAAAGTTCAGGATTTTTCAAAGAGAATTTCTCTGGAACTATTCTGTCTTTAAGACTAAGATTTTCAGAGATAACTGAAATTCTTATGCTCTTTCAATATTCAAAGATGTTATTTTAGTAGCTGCATAGCCTATATTAATGAGGCAAAAAATATAAACAAGGATTTGCCGTAAGACAGACACCTCTCTAAGATGGACACACAGTGCCAGTTCCAGAGGTGTCCATCTTAGAGTCGACTGTATTTTAAAAATGTCTTAGTAATGGGTTCCTCTTTCATTGTGCCACAGGTCAACCACTTAGCACTGAACACAGACTATGCACTAAGAACAGGTGCCTTTGATCCATCAAAAGGCAGCACCGCACATGAGGTTATTACTGACAGTTCTATACTAAAAGACAAAGCTTTGGAAAGATACACTGAAGCTAAGGTATGAGATTATATGAATATTAACTGGGATCTTAAGCAACTACGTAGAATGCGAGCTGTCCCTTATTTTTACTTTAAAGGCTACTGGTAAACCATGCACGTAAGCCGCAATAGACAAGGGTGTAAGCCCGGGAAGAAAAAAATGCCTCTTTCAGACGTCGTTTTATGTTTGAAAACGCGCTGCTTAGGATGAGAACTCAACGGATTTTAAGAGAAAAGACGGGCAAGCAGTATAGCAACTACGTCTGTCACATTTGCGTAACAGTTAAATTTCTTCATTTCAAGTCACTCAATTTGTCAGAACTTTTGCTGGAGCCGAGTTATTCAGAAAGAGAAAGAGGAAATTGTCGTGTGTTTTTGTCCCATTAAGGAAATTTTGCGTCTTTAGTCATGCTGTTACGGCAAAGAAAGGTACCAAACAGTGTGATGTACGTTCAGAGTTGATCGCAAATGAAGATAATATCAAGACCATGTCATGTACTCTCAAAGTTATTCCATTTTTGGAATGACTGCCAGTGTTCGAGTTATGCTTTAGGTTTGGAAGATGACTAAGATTACTACCATCTATAAGCTGTTCAGAAATGGGTTACTAACATGGGTGGGGAAAATGACATTTTGGTCAACGTTTGGTCAAGAGATTGCAAGTGATTCTTTACGTACGCTTTTCCATATTATTTAATTATTGTTATCGTTTCGGTCGTCATATAACTTGAAGACGAGCTTTCGGAGAATCTTTTTAAGAAGACGCCCTTTTGGCTCGTAAAGCAACAATTCTTCCCAACGGATGTTAGTAGGAGTTTGTATCGGCCTAAAGAATGTCTGTATAGCAGATTACCTTAGAAGTACTTCATAAACATTGATCAGTACGACCATCCTAATCTATCATCAGAATTTTTCGGTAAACAGCAAACACTTCCGAAACCGTTCATTGGGAAAGCTTAACTTCCTCCTAAGTTAAAGAGCGAAGAGTTTTATTGTTGACCATCAACTCAATCTATTTTTGTTTAATTTTGTACAGGGTGGAAGAGGAGAGCGATTGGTGTCGGGTTCAGACGATTTTACTCTCTTCCTGTGGGATCCAGAAGAAAGCAAAAAACCTTTAGCTCGAATGACAGGTCACCAGGCTTTAATAAACCAAGTTAGTTTCTCACCCGATGGCCGTCTAATAGCAAGTGCAGCATTTGATAAGTCTGTGAAAATATGGAACGGTGACAGTGGCAAGTAAGTTACGTTGTGTTTAGTTCCGTTTGGGACTCAAAGGATATGTGTCACGAAATTTATCAAAATTCAAACCATGTGAACAGCACGAAACTGAGTGAAACATGAAAATGACGGGTTAAAACTTGAAAAGAAGGTATAGATAACACAGAAAATACAAAGCGATAGCAATAGTACTGTATAGGCGTTTTTAGCTCGTTTACACCTTTGCCTATCCTCTTTGTTCTTGTCTTTGACTTAGCCATTATTTAGGTGGGTAAAGGGGTTAGTTTCTAAGAAAAGTATGGTGCTGCACAGTGGGGGAGTGAAGTAAAAGTAAAGGATTGGTTTTATCAACTAATCTGTTGAAGAAAACTGTCCACCAAACCCGTTCCCAGGGTCCTCCGTCTCTTATTCGTCCCCCGGAGCGAGAGAGGTACGAGCCTTAGAGGAGCCTGAGAACGAAGTTGCCTGTCCACCCTAAAATGGGTGAAAAGCTGCCTTTTGAGTGCTAGATCTTCATTCTTCTACAGGCTGTCTTGTGAATTATACACGTAGGCCGTAGCAGGAGCCTAAAAGTTATGGGCTCCTGACCATAGATAAAGATAGAACGCGCGAGCAGATGGGGGGGGGGGGGGGAAGGAAGGGGGGGGGGGGCCCCCTCCCCCCTCACCAAACCCCTTTGGAGGGGGGAAAAAAAAATATATAGAAAATTACCCAGAAAGCCCCGGGGCAATGTAAAAATTGTAAATTTTGGGACGGGGGGTTTTTAACAAGTTATTTGGGGAAAGGGCTATTGTGACGCTCGTCGCATGTGAGAGTGTGTCAGTGTGTTGTTTGATTCTCTGCGTCTTGTGCGTGGATGTGTGGGCTTGTGAAAGCGGAGAGGGGCAGAGGAGGGAAGGAAGGGTGGGGGGGAAAGAAGAGGAAGGACGAGGGGGGGGGGGGGGGGGGGGGGGGGGGGGGGAGGTAAAGGAAGGGGGAGAGGGGCTCCCTCCTCCCTCACCATACCCCTTTGGAAGGGAGAAATAGAAATATATAGAAATATGACCAGAAAGCCTCGGAGTCATGTAAGAATTGTAATATTTCGAACGTGGGCTATTGAACACTATATTACGGGAAAGAGCCTTGCCCAGGCTCAAAAACGCGCCAGTCTTTATTGCGAATTTTAGTCAGTGTCCTGAATATAATAAAGGACTTATTTATTTTTTTCAAGGTACATCACATCTCTTCGAGGACATGTCAATTCCGTATATCAGGTAAATATTAATAACACAAACAGAGAAAAACAGAGCAAAAATCTCAATAAATGGAGGGTTGAAGTATGTCGTTTAACATACATGTAAGGAAGGCGGCGTTCACGTTGTGGTGTTGCGTTAAACATTACAAACAAGGTATTTTTAAAAGGATGCCATTTTTAGAATCTTTGACAGCAAGTAAACTTTTTCGGTTGTAAATTACTAATTTGTACGCAGTATCTGGTTTAACTTTGATTCTGACGCTAGTTTCGGCACTTCAGACTCAGTTTTTAAAATTTCATTGATGTTTTTCTTATGTTTCTAAGATTGCTTGGTCTGCAGACAGCCGACTACTGTGCAGTGGAAGTGCAGACAGCACCCTCAAAGTAAGTGTATTGACAAATATATTGAATTATCTCCTGAGGCAACACTGATTTCCGCTTTACAGAATATTGACTCTTGGCTCTAAACTCAAAGGTTAAAACAAGAAGGAGAGGTTTTGTCTTGTCTTTCAACAATCAATGGCTGAGATCAGCTCAGCCACCTTGCAGATTCCTTTAAAAAGCGACCCTCTGCTCCCCATTTAAACGCTTTCTCATAGAGTTACAAAGTTACTCTCCTTCCTCAATTCAACTGGTTTACTGTCTTATTGTTATAGGTATGGGACATGAAAACGAAGAAAATATTAGAAGATCTTCCAGGTCACGCTGATGAGGTAGGCAAACTTTCATTGGTGTCAAAAGGGGCGTGGCCGTTACCATCAGTAATTCACTCTCTGTCGTATGTCGCTCCTCAATGCGCAATATTATGGTGTTTTAATTGAATATAGGCCATTGCGGAAAATACCATAATATTCCGGCCTTAAATTGCCTTATCGATAGTGCTTTAATATTAATTTGAGAATATTATGGTATTTTTCGCAGTGGCCTTATCCAACAAACCAACCAAAACTGTTTGTTTAGCCGGTGCTAAGCGCGGGAAAACGCGTGAATTTCTTTTACAGTGGAACCTCGATATAACGAAGGGTCAAGGGACTGGCAATTTTTGTTCGCGATGAGGAGGTTTCGTCATATCGAGGTTCTTTTCCCTATATTTTACCATTGTTGGGATACAGAAAATCGTTTGTTTTACCGAGGACGTCGTTATATGGAGGTTCGTTTTATCGAGATTCCACTGTACTTCTGATTGATGAAAAAATAGCCGGGCTAAATTTTAAGCCAATCACAGCCAAGAGAGGACTATTACAACAGCCAACCAGAAGAAAACTGATCCGCTTCAACACGGTCAAGTCATGACGAATTATAGAATTATGGTTCTTTAACTTCGAATGTGATAAGTAATAAATAAGGAAGTATTTATTATTATTTTCCCTGAATGTATTGCTTTTGCTTAAAGATCTTGTAAGCGATTGCACTCAATACGTTTATCTCATGGTCGCTTACGAGCACGAGAGCTTTGTCTTCTAGACGACCACCTGTATTTGCGACCACTTTTATGAATTCCCAAAGTGGTCGCTTGCGAGATCTTTGACTGTTGCAGGAGCCATAACCAGGAACGAGCAACTCGGTTGTGCTCATGTAACGGCGTTTTCACAGACCAGTTTATTTTGAGATCGATTTTCCAGCGAATTTTGAATATCAAATAATTTTTATCAAATCAGTCATCATAAACCGGAGACCAGAAAAAAGTATTCCTAATGTTTTGATAGCATTTACCTCTCCTCTTTGTAATTACCGTACTGTGGATGCGCGCGCATACGGAACGTTGCTTCCATTTCGCGGGAAATTTCAGGCTACGGATAAAAGTGCTCCAAAATGATGCTAAAAATAGCTTGATCTGTGAAACGCCGTTGAATAGGCTAAGTGTGGGAGTTGCACGCTGCCGCTTGTGGTCTCCATTGGCTCCTGACTATAATAAGTAACTGTATTTTAATTGACATTTATAGGTTTTCAGTGTCGACTGGAGTCCAGACGGTAGCAGAGTTGCAAGTGGAGGCAAAGACAAAGTTTTGAAAATGTAAGTGGCCTCACTTCTCACATGAGCAATAGATACGTAGAGTAGATTAGGAATCTGGCCTGTTAACTACTTCCCAGGGTAATTAGCCGGAACTATAGAATAATTTATACTGTCCATCAGCGCGAAAGTCGAAAGTGAGTAACTACAATGCTGGACAACAGTGCGTGGTACAGTCATGCAATAATGAAAATTGCTTGTAATTGTTCAGATGTTTACCTAACCCCCACTCTATGCAATCTTGAAAATTCCAGAAAATTCTGGATATACGGGTTTGGCAACTCTGTATGTGGGTTTGGGAAAGGGGGTGGGCATGTTTATTGTAAAAATTGCAATTTTGTCGTACGACTTTTGTCCACGATTTTAGATAAGAGAAATTTCATGACATTTCGTCGGCACAAACCATCTTGCTTTTTCATAAGAGAGGAAATATTTTCATAAACTGCGCCTATTTTACACTTAATTGTAATTTTTGTGATTTGTTTTGTAATTTGTTTACCCACGAAACACTTAAAAAGTTCTTTACAACTCGTTTTAACGTGTTCGTGTGTTCGAGATCGAATTGGAATCTGGAAGTGCTGGTTTTTGAGGAGAAGGGAAAACCGGAAAAAACGGAGAAAAACCTCTCGAAGCAAGGGAGAGGACAAATAACACCTCAACCCACGCATGGCGTCGACGCCGGGGTTTGAACCCGGGCCAAATTGGTGAGATGCGAGTGCTCTTACCGCTGCGAAACCCTTGCTCCCCTGCAAACAACCATAAAGAAACATTCGTGCTTTAAATATCAGAAGCCCGCTGACACGAGGCACATGTTAGGAACGAAAGCGGAACAAGACGAATAAAAAAAACCTGCGTGCGTGTGGGTGAGATGACCTTGAAAAATTCCTCACATCTGCCACGCTTGTTTGCGTGAGGGTTTGGATGGGGTGAAAGATGCTGTTAGGACATCATTGCGTGCAAGACATTTAATAAGAGCCATTTCCTGTTCCCCTTGTTGAGTCCAACAGCGATCAAGTGTTATTAGGGTAAAATAAACAAATAACTCAGCGGGCCGAAGTTAAATCGTCTGGGCTGTGGTATTGAAACGGGGTGAAAGTCCAAGGAACCTCACAATCATCTCTCACATTACGTATATCATGCCGGGAAAGATGTTTTTGTGTCTGAAAATACGCACACACCAATCGCTGGGGCAAAACAAGTGGCATAGATCTCAAATATTGTGTTTTCTGTTTTCTTTCTCAGATGGAGATCATAACAAGTACAGTCGACAATAAAACAATACAGTTATCTTTTGAAGAAAACTTCAGTGTAAATAATTCAAACGTAATAAAATGACATTCTTTGACTAACAATAAGGGCTATCTCTTTTAACTTAGTTATGCTCTCGACACGTCTACGGCTCTCTGCGAGCAGAGTCTCCTTGGATCTTTCCAAGATAAATCGGGAAGAGCCGACTTATCCATCACTCCATGTAAGGGAATGCAAGACAGTCATGGATTCTGGATTCCACGCGGTGGATTCCGGATTGCAGCTACTGGATTCTAGACCTTTGTCAGTGCAACTTGGATTCCGGATTCTACAAGCACACATTTCCCGGATTCCGGAATTCCTTACATGGGGCGATATCAAGGAAAGATCGAAGCGACTCTGCTAGCAGGGAATGTCTACGGCGACAAGAACGCCAAAAAAGCGATAAATTTAATACGCTGTGGCTATATGGCCGGTAACATGACCGGCAGTCCGGTATTTTCAATCAATTTGACTTCTCTAAGAATCCCAACCAATCCAAACTATCATATGTCGATTAAGAAAAGTCAAGCGATCCTGAAATACTAGATCTCAAATCTAGCGTTTGGTTTACGCAGGGATCAGAAAACAAAACCATGTTTTGTGACACTTAGAACTTTTTCAGGTCGACTACCAGTCAAGGTTTCTAAAACACGAAATGACCGGCAGTCCTATATTCTCAATAAATTTGACAAACCGAAAAAATCCATCTAATCTAAACTATCATATGTCGATTAAGAAAAGTCAAGCGATCCTGAAACGCGAGGAAAGAGAAAAGCGGAAAGAGGAAGCTAAAAAAAGTTCTAAGTGTCACAAAACATGGTGTCGTTTTCTGAAATTTATTGCGAATATAGGACTGCCGGTCACTAAGTGTTTTGAAAATCTTGACCGGTTTCCGGCCATATGGCCACAGCGAATTTCATAAGCAAAACAACAACACGGCACGACTACGACGTTAAACGTCGAGCTTTAACACAAGACAACTATTTTTCTTTCTTTCCCTAAAGGTGGATACAGCCCTTAAGAAATCAAATCCGGAAAAAAATCGCGAACATTGACGGATTAAACGTAGTGGAATAAGTTTGAAACAGCGCAAATTCACTGTCGTGGTTGTTTGAGCTTCTTGTATGTGCCACATGAAAGGCGACGATCTCCTTTTCATCTCTTTTGGAACGGGGAATCAACATTCCGTTTACCATTTAAGAAGTGACCGCTACATGAATTGTGTGGAAGGTTATTCCAATAATGTACTAGTAACATGCAAACTGCGCATTCAAAGCCATCTGTTCTTTCTTCTCCACCTTTCTTTCTTCTCTAAGTGGACTCCACCCACCATCGCAATTGTTTGACTTTGAAGTAAACACAAAAAAGACCACAGAGTTTTATTGGAGTATATATAACTTTATTATATCCATTCACTTACTGTAGCTATGCAATTTGTTATTGTCATTTTTATTGAAGCTAATAAGTATAGTAGTACAGCATAGAGAAAAAAGTCCAACCAGTGAGAAAACAAACTTGAACTGACATTGTAAACTTTGGAACACAGAAAAAATAGCTCTCATTCGCGACGTTTTGAATGAACCGGCAAATGGACTGCGGACTTTCAAAGCCAAACCATTTGATTAATTTCCAAAAAGCCATTCTTAGCTTGTAGGCCAGTTCCACCTTCACAAAAATTACGTTTGGAATCAAAATCGGAACTAAAAAAGTGTAACAAATTTAAACAATCACACATCTCTCTTATATTACCCACACAAGAGTTACACAGTATTTTCTGCAGTAGTAAAATTACCAAACCGGTTGGCCAACACTTCCATATGGAACATTCACTATTCTTGTAAAACAACATAAGAATAAGGTCTCTGTAATCAGTGGCGGATCCAGGGGCCCAGGTGAGGCCAAATACAGAACCATGAAGCACTTCCTATTCCCTACCCTGTGGTGACTTGGGGCTCAGGGTGGGTGGGGGGCTGGCAATCGTTACGGGACAAGAGGGCGAGCACAAGAATTTGCTTGGGTTCAATCACAGTTTTTATTCTCTCTTATCTTCCGCTGCTTTCGAAGGCAAAGCTGACAACTGCAGAAAATACTGAGCCTGCTCCCTCAAAAACTACACCCGACCTACAGGTGATGAATACAATTTTTAAATATAAATATCTCTCTGTAATCAATGGTTTGATGAAATGACATAGTGAAAGAGAAAAAGTACCTGGTGGAGAGTAGAGTCAAAAAGAATTTTTTTTAAAATGGTAACAGCACAACATTATTTATTTTGGTTCATGGACTCGAAAGAACAAAATTTTGTGTCTCCATAATTTTTTTCTGAAATTGAGAGAAGTGTCGAGAATGCCTTTTGGATTAGTAAATCCAAATTAATTACTTGATAGACAAACTAGGAAAACTTACTTTCCTTACATCCTGAAAAGATGACCTTATGTACAACTCCAAACACAATTTTTTTCATTTTGTACACAAACATACACCAACTGATACTTGAGGCTGCAAAAAGCTAATTTAGGAAATAAACGTCAGGCAAAATAGCATAAAGGCAGTCCTTATTATAGCAATGCGACAGAAAAAGGGCTTGAAGAATTCGAACATCGCCATAATCTCGTTTCATAGGGTCTTGACGTAAAAGCACAAAAAAGATATGTTACTGATGAACCGTGCCTGCATTCAACCAACCTTCTTGCACCACAACTGTATTTCCTTTTCTTTGTAGTGAGATTCATAGAACAAAAATACTACTTCCATCTCACTACAAGAAACATTTTATAGAGCCAACCTTAAGTATGTTGCATTTTAAATGCTCTTCACTCCTACAGTTCAAGAGCTGTCTTTGATCGAATAAGACCTGGATAGCGCTATCCCCAGTCAAATGACTACCTGCTGGAGGAGTGAAAAAGATTGGAAACCATTTTAAATTTTGAACCAAGGCAGCCAAATCTAGGAAGTGATTGCAAGCTCACAAGGGGTATTTTGTGAAAGGGGGGAAGTGTACCTGGGGTAAGAGGAGGGGTCCTTGGAGTACCAAGGACTTCTTTCCACTCCCCGTCCCCTCTGTCACATCTGCCACCCACTGAACTCTGCTAGTGTGGCACTCAATGCAAATTCCTGTCTGCTATATACACCACACAGGAAACCATTAACCAACGTTCTTGTTCTTCAAAATTTTATGAACACAATCTCCCATGAAAACAACTTAAGTTCTTTAGTGATATTTCAGAGCTGTTGAGGATGGAAGCAATGGTGCAGCTGCCACTTTATTCCATGAGTATAAATGGCATACCACTGTTACCAATAACATGGTAATGTCTTTAGGAGTGAAAGGAAGAGTCTTGAGATCTGATCACCTTGAAGACTTGGTGTACAGGTCATGATTTCTTCATCACTCTTGATCTTTATTTACACAAGCAGAGTACCGAAACACTATAAACATTATTACATTTTATATTGTGAACCTGCAAAATACCACAAAAAAAGACATGAGAACACATGGTGGGAACATACATTATTCTGTTGTTCTACTGCTAAGAGGGCAGTGGTTTTTGGAAATAAGTTGATGCAAATAAGAACCAAAATTCTCACCTTTTTATTTACACTTTAACAAGTTCTACTTTATGTTCAAGACCTTGCTTCTCTTCTATCTCCCTTTGGATAACAGGGTCTGGTTTTAAGCATATATAAAGTCGCTAATACCAAAAAGAAAGCAAAAGGTATATATTAATATGAATATTTCATATTTATTTGTTAAATAAATTTAGATAATATTATTATTATCTTGGGTGGGCGACAGTGGTTCACCCCTTCTCCTTACTTTAGAACAGGCCTTTTGCAAAAGTTGATCACATGTTCAACTTTCTGTAAACACAAAAACACTTTGCTTTGGGAAAATTTTGTTAACAGGAACTTAAAGAGCATATTAAAATTTGATAACCATGTAAATAAAAAAGCCCTGCTCCATTTTGTCCTTGTGCATAATTTGTGTCCTATTCAACAGCAAGTGACATTAATGACTAACCATGGTGTAGGATGGAGGAAACTCCCAGAGATTACAAACAAAAAAACTTGAAAACTTCTGCACCATAAACTGTGACATAGCTCCTTTAACACTTCAAAAGTAGTACAAGTCTTCATAATTAAGAGATCAGACACAACATAGGTGTGGCCTTACAATCAGTAATAAAATAAATATATATATGTATTACAAAATTCCAAAACATAAGTTACAAAAGGATATCAAAAAATAAAACTAAAAAGATATCATAAGTTACAAAAGCACAGTTTTCACTCTAAGGAATATGAAGTCATGGTCCCTGTCTCTAAGGGCCCTGTTGTGTTAAGGAGGAAGCAAGTCATATAATTTATGACCATGCAGTGTCACTAGTGATTCTGTTGAACAGATCACCGATCACAATTTCGGAGCACTTACCTCCATGAATGTGCCAGGAGTGCGATACAACTGCCAAATGGCAACTCCAGGAATCAAAAGCATGGATGACAAAGCAAGAACCCATCCTATAAATTCTGCCCAAGGTGGATACTTGTAATCACCGTAGGAGACTCCAGCCCACTGTGAAGTACTGTACAAAAAGATTCCAGCCATGATGGCTGGTGCACAGAACTTCCAACAAAACCTCCACCATAGTCCTGGCCGGCATCCAATCATTTTCTCAATGTCAAGAGCAAATTTGTCTGTACCATATATCCAGGCCAAGGTTACAGTCTCAAAGAAAGCCAAAAACAAAAGAGAAACACCTCCAGACTGGTAATCAAACAGATTTAGAACATATGCTCCACCTTGGGTTACACACGGCAGGCCAAGTAGAAAGCAAATGATACAAGCAACCAAGATGAATAGTTCCTTGCGTTTTCTGAGAATGTGGTACTCATCAACAAATCCTGTGATTACTGCTTCCATCATGCCAAACTAGAAGGAAAGAAAAGTGATTAACCATATTCTAGACTGAAACAAATTACTGTATATTACTCCACAAGGAAACAAACTGTTAAGGCCAGGGTGCAAAGAAAGTCAGTTTTACAGCTTACAACTAGTTAAACAGGCACCTTCCCCCTAATAAGATAACGTTGCTGAGTGTAAAACTTAATAATAAATGTTAAGAAACTTTAGGTACCTGTAAAGAATAAAAACATTAAAACAACTAGCCATATACACCCTTTTCCAAAATGGCAGCAATATTACAATTATTATTATTAATAAATAATAATAATTAACATAAATATAAAGGAATTATCTTTTTCTATTTTAATTCTTTTATATTTATGTTAATTATGTTGTTATTGCTTCTTGAATCACTTGCATCTGAATTCAAAAGAGCTTTTACCTTGAAATAAGACAATGAGGGCCAATTATTGTGAAGAAAAGAATTACTCAAGTTGCCTACATTTTGGAATAGGGTGTGTATTATTTTTTGTACCTGACTATCCAAACCCAGAGTCAGCAGCATGAAGAAGAACAGGATAGCCCACAACGGAGAAATTGGCATTTGTGCTATAGCCTCTGGATACACCACAAAAGCCAGTCCAGGTCCTTTGAAGAGAAGTTTTCACATATGTCACAATTTCATCTTCAGAAGATTCTACTTCACAAAACTAAGGGTACAGGTAAAGGTTACTGATTTTTTGAACACACTATGCAGTTACCGGTAAAACTTACCAGAACTTGCAACTGATGTGATGTCTTTGTTGAGCACTCCAGCCATGAAACCAAGGGTGGAAAAGATAACAAAGCCAGCAAAAATACTCGTTCCACAGTTGATCAGCGAAATCATCATGGCATCTCTAATCATTAAAAACAACACCATACATTAGACAAAACGGCAATAAGAAAAACTATCCGCACTAGCAAAAAAGCTGTTTATTTAGGCAAATTTTCTGTCATCGCCAACGCTTAACAAATGCAGGTGGTTTTTCCCAATTTAACAAAATTTTGTCTGAGCCAGGACAATCTTCAAACTGGCACTGCAGACAAAATTTGTCCTGCGTAAAAACTGGACAAAATCAATTCAATAAATGAAAATGTGTTTTTCTTGTCAATCATTTGTTGTAAAGCCGTTATTCTCTCCACTAACAAAATGCAAGTATTGTTAGATGTAAGGCCCTGTTAAGAAAAAAAATTAATGGTCAAAAAACTTTCACTCACTTGTACACGTTGTTATGGAACTTATTGTAACTTCCCATCGTAACCAAAGAACCAAACCCAATGCCAAGTGAGTAAAAAATCTGAGTAGCAGCTGCCACCCACACCTACGACAAACCAAAACAGAAAACATGGCTCTCAAACTGCAATAATATTGCAACAAAAAAATGAGTGACATGCTGTATTTTTGCATGGTAATTTTTTATGGCACTATCCTTTGTTTTCAAACTCAGTCTTTTAAATTAACAGGTCCAAAAGAAGGAAAATAGAAATCTAACTCAAGGAATTCTTGAAGACATAATATATTAGATATTCATTAGATAAAAGTTGGATTGGAATGTGATGTAAACTGAATAGCTTTGGGTAGAGGGAATCAAAATACTATGGGGTGAAGGACAAGGACAAGTAAAGAGAGGAGAGTGAGGGACCATATACAGCTGTAAGCATCCACGGTGAAATCTCGGTGCCAAATAAAACTAAGGTGAACTAGAAGCCAAAACTTGCACCATGTATAAGGTCAAATTATGGCAAACACACAGTTAAGTTTGCCATAACCAAAATCTCGCAAGAGATTCCTACAAACGTAAAAACACTCAACCACTACCAGTTCAATTAATGAAATCTGCGTAACTCTCAAAGTTGACTACATATAAATGACTGCTACACATTATTGTCCGTATTTGCCATGGTACCTAAAGCACATATTAAGTTTTTTCATTCATAATACAGAGGTGGTTAGCTCGAAAACTAAGCTCCTCTGACCACCGTACACTTTATCAAAGCCATTAATTTCTTTCTTCTCTTTTTTCTCTTATTTGCTATTTTATTCCTATTCTATACAGTGTAAATATTATAAGTGTGAAAAAACTGAAGTGAACTGAACTTTAATGTACATTATCAGAGAAATACTTGAGGCTTACTAACACATGGCATAGTGTAGTATTTAATTCAATAGTTAAATAAATAAATCCCACTGCATCTGAAATTTTCTAAATCAGTGCATTTTGTTGAGGTTCTGAGTGTCCTGCCTCTGTTTGAGTTTTCTTGTTTGCCAAAGCGATGGTTGAAACTTCTTCCCCAGTCTCTTTTTCAGAAAGACTTGATTCTTCTTTTTGTTTCCTTGGCATCCAGCACTCTGGTTTTGCCAGATGTGCTAAATCTACATGGGTGAATCCGCCGTAATATTGCATGTAAATCTGGGAATCTTCCTGGAGCTTGGGTGTTCATGCACAACAGCAAAACACAAAACAGGATGGCAGACAATACGAATGTTTGTGTACATGTACATACGAATCGTAAACAAATGGATTGATAATTATTACACTGTGCCATTTATCAAGCAGAAATATCAACTTTGAATAATAATTTTGGGTTCTTATAATAACCGTTCAGACATGTATCTTCAGGTAAAGGGCAGCTTAATTCTATTGTCCAAGGGGCAACCATGATCTGTGATTTGGTTGTCAGTGTCAAATTCTGGTCATCCATGATGACTGGACGCCCGTTAATTTCAAAATCTGCTTATGATCTTACCCCTGGGTCCTTGAGACGTGCAAAATCAGGCTTCAAATAGTAAATGATGCCTTCACTTGCATTTGGAAGTGTGACACCACGGATGAACAAGATAAACAAAACAATGTAAGGAAAGGTTGCAGTGAAGTACACAACCTGTGAACAAGAGAACAAATATTTCATACAGTCAAACCTCTCAAAAGCAACCACCCGGTAGGTAGTGGTTGCTAACAAGAATCAACAACATGGGGTCTCTTCCGAGAAGAGGTCCCAACACATGTAATTTTTGGAAGATAATTTACTGCATGCAATTTCTAAGTTACAAATAAGGATAGTTACATGTTGTCACTGAAAGTTCTTGTTACACTCTGGGGGCGTAGTACATACAGCGAACGAAGACCACATTATGTGTCAAGTGGTCCCTTACAAAAAGGTTATAAACAATAGAAAGTAATAACTGTTGGGCCAAAACCAGTGGTCGAGGTCAAGGTCACTTATGAGAGGTGCTCATTTACGAAAGGTTCTGATTGTAGGGGTTTCAATGGGAAAATTTCAGTGTTTTGGACAGGTGGTCGTTTATGGGAGGTGGTCTCACATGGACTGTACAACAGTTAATTTTTATAATTAACATTAGCAAGAAGTGTGATGCGACAAAAATTCAACTTTGCAAAATCATCGGATTGGTTAGCATATCCAGAAAGTACAAGATGAGAAAGCCCCCTTGCCAAAAATCAGCCGGTTAGTGCAAATTGGCGAGGAGATATAAGCCCCAGGTTGCCCCGGTGACTCCTTACAAATCTCTCTAAAATTGGCGTGGACCATAACATTAATGATCCGTGCCTTTTTTAGAAGAAGTTGTATGGAGTAATCGGAGCATAACATTGCTTACATCTCACCACCAATTCACACCAACAGGCTGATTTTAAGTCCCATTAGTGACCAAGATCAATTTTCTCCTAACAATATCCATACACTGTCAAGAGATAAGTTATGAGAATTAATAAAATGATCACCCAAGAGAAAATGCCTGATGATCTATCATCAAATTCTCTCAACTAATTCTTTAAAGAAATGTATGGAAATGTTTGGAGAATTTGTATGTGAATACTGGGGCTTAAAGGGTTAACAAGTGAACATTTTTCATCTTGTTCTTTCTGGGTAAGCCAACCAATCCCATAATTTCACAAATGTAGTTTTTGTGACATGATCACTTTTCTTCTCTAATTTACCTTTCCAGAAGATTTGACACCTTTCCACATGCAAAAGTACACTATAACCCATGCTGCAATTAGACAAAGTAATATCTCCCATCTGAAATCTCCTGCATCACCAATACTGTCCGTCAAACGTAGGACATAATGTCTGTAAAAGAAAAGAAACAAGACCAGAAACAGAGATTGTACAACCTTGGACCCCCAAAACAACAAAATCAATGACCAAAAATAGCAGTCACAAGAAATTTGGGTCCATGTAGTAAAACAAATGGCATGGGAAAAGCAGGGGGATGCAACTTCTAAAGATAGATGTAAGTCTGCTACTGTAACAGTGAATACTAGAAAATGTCCTTACTGCCAAAACTCCAGAGATGGTGAGGCATGGTCTTCTAATGTTGAATTACTACTGCAGTTTGGAAATGTTGCATTAGCAAGCGCAGCAGTACCATTGGCAATAGCTGCTGTGTTATTTGTAAAAGCAGAACAGCTGGTTTTATCTGGTATACGGCCTGCTAAACAATTGTCAGTGTTCCACCAATTACCACAAGATTTCCAAGGAACCTCCTTCTTCATGGACAAGAACAGGTAATAAAGGCACCAGGCTATGATGATGTTGTAGTAAGCACTCACAAGAAAAGAAACCATCATGCTGGCATATCCAACCCCTGGTAGAGAGTAATGTTACAGGATCAATATTGTTTCATTTCTTTAATTCCTTTTTTTGTGGGGGAGGGGTGCATAGGAGGAGAAGGTGGTAGTGGGTGAATCTTGAATCAAAAGACAGTGAAAAAGTGCTTGGTTTTGAACTTAGTTTTATCTGTCTGCACTTATCAATCCTTACACTGTTCCTGACTCTGGTGGGGCATCTTGAATGAAGGATAAATTATCAGTGACAATAGCCAACAAGTATTTTACAGATAACTTAGCAAAAGAAAAAGACTCACATTGGTACTGTCACTGGGTTATTTGCTAAGATCAGAAAGTAAAGATTTCCCTTTAACATTTTAGCAATACCCTCAATAAACTTACAGGACAAAAACAAACACAAGAAGGTGATAGGTACATGCAAAATGATTACCTTGAAACAATGGACAGGCAGCTCCCCATGATCCAAGGGGACCAAGACTGAAGTACTGTCCAACAGCCAGTTCCATGTAAAACATTGGCATTCCACACAATATAAGAAAAATTATATAGGGTATGAGGAAAGCTCCTATGAATAAACAAACAAATAAAAACCTCAAAACCAAAAATATTCCACCACAAAAGCATGCTTTAATAACTTAATTGGTCACACGTTTTAACAACTTCCAAAGAAAAGTTTCATCTTTTGCAACCACAAAAAATAATGAAATGCTAAATTAAAAACAACATACATGTCAATCAATCAATCAATAATCTTTATTTATACACGATAAGTATTTAAAGCGACGCTTCGCTTGTGAGGTCGTGTCTAAATAATTAAATAAGATAACTAATGAATTAGAAAATAAAAATGATATACACCAGCTAAAATCATATAGCTACTTACTACTTACAAGTCTAAAACGATAAAAGCTTAAAATTCTAAAGTACAAGGTGGTACTCTAGTATCAACTAATTAGGTATTAACACTAATTATACTTAAAATCTTCCTCCCTTCTGGTTAATGTTTGAGGGGAGATACAATCGAAATCTAGGTGTAGCAGAGCCTTTGACCGTCTTGCCATAATCGCATATTTCTTAACATTGTCTATATCTTCATTGAGTTGAGGAACCAACGTGTTCCAAACTATTGCTCCTCTACGAGCTACAGAGTTCCTCATGTAGCTGGTGTTAAAACGAGGGACATCAATTTTCAGTTTCTTCCTAAGTTGATATCGCTTGATGTTATCATTGTTCTTAATAATAGCTGACATAGCGTCTGGAGTCAGGTTATTGTGGATTTTATACATAAGCTTAGCTAAGCTAATTTTATACATAAAGGCTAAAAAAGACCAATTAGCCTTTTTCATAACATCTGCATTAGATATCTCCCAAGGTAGCTCAGAGATAATTCTTGCAGCTCTACAATGCAGTGCTTCTAATGCCTTAAAACCTTCCTTATTTGTGAGGCCTCCCCATACTGATATACCATATACGATCGACGGCATAATAACTCTAAAATACAAGTCTAATAACATATTCTTTGGAAGAAATTTGCTACGTTTTAACAAGTTTAACTTATCAACAAAGCCTTTTTTAACAACACTAACATGTTTAGACCAGTTTAGTTGATCATCTATCAATACGCCTAATAGACGAGAGTGTGTAACCCATTTGATCGTGTGCTAGGCCAACGTTAACTCTTTCAATGGGCCAGTGAATCTTCCACGATGGAGGATCATTGCTTCGCATTTCTTTGGATGAGGCACAAGGGAGTTTGTTTTGCACCAGTATAGAAGCTCTTCCAAAGCTTTGTTAAGTTCAGAAATTACTGCATCGATAGAATCGCCAATGCAATATAGGGTAGTATCATCAGCATACATGTAGGTTGTCACAGTGGTTATAGCTTCAGGTAAATCACTTGTGTAAAGAGAAAATAAGGTCGGTCCTAGAACAGAACCCTGCGGTATTTCAGATTTAACAGTGTTAAGATCTGATGCTATACCATTTAGGACAGTATATTGTTTTCTATTGTCAAGGTAACTGCGCAGCCAGTCGAGTAGCACTCCATTTATTCCAAAATCATTTTCTAATTTACGTAATAGCACATTATGGGAGACACAGTCGAACGCTTTCTGGAAATCTACCAGCACTATATCAACAACTTTATTTGAATCAATGGCACTCCTCCAAATTTCTGTCATATGTAAATGTAATACTGGCATTCACATTAATATCACACTAGGGTTCTTTTGGATTGTTCAGGACAGGAAAAAGCTTAAATAGAGGTTTAAAGTAGGTTTTACACAATAATGTCATCTTGATAGCACAACAAACCAAATGAGGCATTTTCAAACCTTAAGTCTCAACTTAATATTCTGAAACTTTTAACATCTACACTGTACTTTCTAGCCATGATGGGTTTTGTCTATGGTATATGTATGTATGGAGAGAAAGAACCCATTAATAAAAACATTTTTCACCAAATCAAGGTAACTTGCAAAGCCACGTCTTAGGCCCAGTTCAAACTTCGAACTTTACATGTACCCAACCTAGGTTTGGCACATGTTAACTTTGACGTATGAATCACACTTTTGAATTTGGGTCAACTCTTCCATTCCATTCATCTGAGCTTGTCGAATAGAACAGCAAAAGATCGACTTCCATTCATTCATCGAACTTCACATGCGCCAAACCTAATTCATAAATTATGTTAACGTATTTTTCAATATAACCACACTTCTGATTGGCTATATAGTGGGTTTTCACGCCTGTGTGGACAGAACCCACAGAAGCGTAATGACTTAACCAGCATTCTAGTTGTCGATTTTTTTACTGAAACTGGACAGCTTAAAATGGTCTTCTATGAAGGTGCTTTTCTTTATATCCATAAAGAAATCATACTATATTTAAAAATTTATGGCATTACTTTATTTTGTCCAAATGGCAATGTGATCACGATCTCCTCAGCTCACTTCTTGCCATAACAGAACACAAATCACACTAAAATCAAAACAAGAATTTTCAGGCTTGGTGAATTATCTTTTTTCAGTTTATTTCCCTATTTTAAGCAGTAAGGATGATATTTGTTTTTGCCGCGAATTAGGTTTGGCACATGTTAAGTTCGACCGTCTGAATCAACAATCGAACTCAATAGTTTGGGTCGACCTAAATAGGTATTAGGTTTGGCACATGTAAAGGTCGATGTTTGAACCAGACCTTAGGCTTTTGTATATTACGCTAGCATTTGTTTGAGCATTTTAGTGAGGCAAAAGTATTTTAGGCATTGTTCACACATTTTAGTGGCATTTTTTTGTAAAATTAGTCTTTTCGTCACAGAAAATAAATTGACACATTTTTAAAGAGATATGATGACTTAAGGTCCTCCTGGAAATAATTTTCAAATAATTTTCACCTTAAGTGGTGTACAGGATCATTTTTTTGCTGGGTAAAAACTTTTATCTTGTAAACATCGTTGTCTTACCACTTATACATTTCTATTTCCCTTACATGTAAACTCCCTTTGACAGTTTNTCGACTTCCATTCATTCATCGAACTTCACATGCGCCAAACCTAATTCATAAATTATGTTAACGTATTTTTCAATATAACCACACTTCTGATTGGCTATATAGTGGGTTTTCACGCCTGTGTGGACAGAACCCACAGAAGCGTAATGACTTAACCAGCATTCTAGTTGTCGATTTTTTTACTGAAACTGGACAGCTTAAAATGGTCTTCTATGAAGGTGCTTTTCTTTATATCCATAAAGAAATCATACTATATTTAAAAATTTATGGCATTACTTTATTTTGTCCAAATGGCAATGTGATCACGATCTCCTCAGCTCACTTCTTGCCATAACAGAACACAAATCACACTAAAATCAAAACAAGAATTTTCAGGCTTGGTGAATTATCTTTTTTCAGTTTATTTCCCTATTTTAAGCAGTAAGGATGATATTTGTTTTTGCCGCGAATTAGGTTTGGCACATGTTAAGTTCGACCGTCTGAATCAACAATCGAACTCAATAGTTTGGGTCGACCTAAATAGGTATTAGGTTTGGCACATGTAAAGGTCGATGTTTGAACCAGACCTTAGGCTTTTGTATATTACGCTAGCATTTGTTTGAGCATTTTAGTGAGGCAAAAGTATTTTAGGCATTGTTCACACATTTTAGTGGCATTTTTTTGTAAAATTAGTCTTTTCGTCACAGAAAATAAATTGACACATTTTTAAAGAGATATGATGACTTAAGGTCCTCCTGGAAATAATTTTCAAATAATTTTCACCTTAAGTGGTGTACAGGATCATTTTTTTGCTGGGTAAAAACTTTTATCTTGTAAACATCGTTGTCTTACCACTTATACATTTCTATTTCCCTTACATGTAAACTCCCTTTGACAGTTTTTTTTTAAAAAATGCTTAGAATTAATAAAAAGCCTCTCAAAGTTGAGCATTATCAACCATCTGAGAGATTTTTTTCTTTGGGGGGGGGGGAGGGGTGACTGAGAATTAAGGTGAAGCATTTTATTGGGTAAATGAGAGCATAAATTATGTACTCAATAATATTACTGACATTTTTACATGCATTAATACTTCAGCTTTACAATCTATGCTGATCATTTACCTGCATACAGATAATATTTACAAATTCAATCATGTATTCTCAGACTAGACTCATAGTTTTCTTTTATATACATGGAATAGAAATTAGTAGTGGTCTTGGGATTAGAAAGCAAAAAAGAAAAATTAATGTTTTTTACAAAACTGACAGGCAGTACATATAAAGGATGCTTCCATTATGAAGTCTTTTATTTTCTAAACAAACCAAGTCCTGACCTACAAGCTTATTTTTGTTGTAGACCTGGTCCTATTGTATTCACTGGACAACTACTGAATGGGTGCAAGTCCATATACCACCACTTTTGTTCAATTCAGTGTACATGTTGAATGCAAAACATACAGTGTAGGCTTAGCCATTGAATGGTGCATTGTCAAATAGTGGGGTAAACAAATTACATAACAGGCTCATTAAGAATAAATGATAATACAAATTTAGTGGATAGAGATTGATCTAGTAGGTGGCACAATTCAACTGGGGACTGCCAAAAGAAAATAAATTGTACTCGACACAAACATCCAACCACCGTGATCCATCGTGATCTTTTTCATTTTGGAATGTTTAACAGCGTATGTCTAGACAAGAGATTAATGTCAAGAGAAGAGTGTAAAATCACAATAAAATGGATATCCTTGGGAGGGTGGGATCTGGAAAGTATTTTCGTGTTAAACATATGTAGCAAAGGTCTCGTGGTATCGAATGTAATGTTTATCAAATAAATCATGGACATTGACCGATAATCCTGAAAACTGGTGATGATGTTCAAAGTTCACCCAGCTTGTATTAAACCCAAACACGGTTTTCTGGGGGCGTTGAAATCGCGGTAAAAAAAAGAGAGGTTTAAAAAAACACTCCCACACGAGTTATTTTCTCTGTAAGACCACCTTGGCAAGTGAAGTTTACCAGCCACGTTAATAAAACATCACTCCGCGTCAAAAAAGATGTTGGCAAAATGAGATTCGCTAGTACTATTACATTCGGACAAGAAATAACAAAGTCATTTTCATTGTCTGAAAAAAAAATAATAATAATAAAATAGCTTATGCAATGTCCGTGATGAAAACAAATTTTTAGATGCAAAAATGGCCGAACGCAAGAAAGTAAACTCGCAAAACGCGCGAAAACTGGTCATGCATGGTTAATATAATGACAGTCAATAACACTTGACTTCCAGATGATTTGCATTCAATAAATGTTTACTACAATAGCCAGCCACGGGCAGTAAAAACGAAATCCTATCTGGTTCCCCTTACTGATGAAATATAAGTGAAATCGTATTGTTTTGAAGCTTTGAGTTTAATATTTTGGCGAATGCCTTAGTGTGTTGCAATCTACACAAGAAAACAGGTCAAACATCAAAAAATTTCACGAGGGACTGAGTTCATTCAGGTCATTCACATGGTCCAAACACAACACGTTAAATACACGCTGTAACATAACCTGCTTTCTTACCTCCACCATTGGCGTAGCAGAGATGGGGAAAACGCCAAACATTTCCCAAACCGACGGCAAATCCGATACAGGAAAGCAAAAAATCTGTTTTCTTTCCCCACTGTTCGCGTTCATCCTGTATCTCGACAACTGCAGAATTGCTGCCACTTGAGTCACCGTTTTCTTCCCCGTTTGCCTCATTTCCCTTCTCGATCAACTTCTTTTCGGTAGAATCCATATCCCCATGTGTACTCTTTTCCATATTCACAAGATATAAACCAGTTTTTGGCCGGTTAATACAGGGACAATTTCTCTCCTCGTGGTGTTTACAAAGAGCATGTGCTCGCGAGTGGTACGGCCAATGGTTATATACCAACTAACTAGCCTCGCTTTGGCGCGCGAATTGCGTCGACAGAACAACGCACTGCATGGGGTTTCGCAACAGCCACCTTTTAATCGTAATTTAAAAAAAAAAA